AGAAACCTATTTTGACACAAAGACATTAAGCTGGTTTTCCTTTTTTTCTGTTTTCTCCTTAAGCAGATGGCCTAGCCAGACGTGTGTTCTGTAGAATCACACTGAAGAGTTGTTCCTTAGTGAATGATTGTTATACCAGTGAAATAACAATGGATAGCAGTTCTATGAATTCAAACATAGATGCCTAAACAGTGTTTTAGGGAGAGAGGGTACAATAGCTTAAGACTGCCAGATCCAAACACTCCGACCCAGGCTCTACAGTTTAAATGTTCAAGATTTCTACCTGATGTTATTAAAAATAGATGAAATTCTTCTGTGCAGTGTGAAACTGTTAACACATAAGCGGTTAGAAACAATAAAGAAAAAATATGGCTTTCAGTCATGAAGGAAAAAATACTTTCTAGATAATGGGGATACATAGACCCATTTCATCCCTTGGAAAAAGAAAAAAGACAATTAAGAAGATATTGCATGACATTTAGTTGGAATATTTTATTTTTCTTTTTAGACATTTTTAATGAAAGTACTACCAGATACAAGTATATTTACCAAATTATTTTAAAGTATATATATTTGGAAAATGGTTGTTGTTCTATAAATGAACATAGTTAATATACAAATATCACTGTCCTGAAATAAACCTTTATTTTTCCCATTAATATCTTCTGCCTTCCTTCCTGAGCTTCAGCTCTTCCCCAGGAAAAATTCCCATTATGACCCATGAGGTATTTGACTTATGGGTGCATACCCACCCCTTGCATGCAAAGAAATTTCAGCAACTTGAAAACGAGAGATTATGTCAGCAAGTATATTTTTAGGAATCCTGCAATCCAAAGGTAGGAAACACCTGCTCAAAGATGAATTCCTCTCAATTTGTAAGAAAGTTAATTCACATATATGAATGCATTTCTTTCTTAATTTCTCTCATCCTATGCACATTTGGAGCATGTGTAGCTTACAGATGCAGACTTTGAACAATGATCAATTATGTTTTACACACAGTGATAAAAAAATACATATAGTTTCCCTGTCCCTCCTAAAACATGATTATTGTGAAAGTATATTAACATCAGTACTGTGTAAGTTCTCATTTGTATGTTTTATTTTTTCCTCAGAATAAACTATTTAGCTGTGACCAGTGCAAATAAGGAAGGAGCTTGTATTGACAAACCTGTGTCAGACAAATTAATCATGTGAGGATATCAGAGCTTCAGAGATGTTCACAGGCACCTGGACTTGGCAGAAATGGCCCTTTTTGCCTTCCAGGTGGTTATAAATTGCTGAGTCATCTTCTCAGTTTCCCGCAAGAGATGCTAGACTCTGTCCCAGAATAAAATGATCAAGAACAGTTTCACAAAGCATTTCTTGCTATGTATTTTCCTGTGTATTTCCTATTCCTCTTATCTCATAACTTTTATTTTGGGATCTGACAATTAAACTTCTTTGTGTTCATATGCTACCTACCAAAATGTCTACAGCTTTTCTTCACAGATGTTAGTCCACGAAAAGCAGAGAACTGAGGACTGAAGTTGGTTGAAAAAAAGAAGCATGTGAGCCCACAGAGACCTAAAGGTGGAAGAAAAATGTGATGATATTTTGCATCTTAAAACTGTCAGGTTTGCAGTTTTTCTGGGCTTGCATTTTCTTTTCCTCCAACTTCATTATCTTTTTTTTTTTTAAATGTCCAACCTCAGCCATACTTTTCACGCATGGCTTGCAAAAAAGAAATAGATTATGCCCAAAAAGAAGTGCTGGTGATGTACAAAACAGCGCATTTACTACTACAACTAAATTCTAAAAAAAGCAAGTATGCAAATCACCTTTCCTACTGTATTAGTTGGTTATAGCTGCAGCACTGGCTCTATGTTAAATTTCAGTTATTTCAGATGGTAGAGGTCAAAAGATTTGGCAAACACTGTGGCTTGGAGATTTTCTTAACTGATATATATTAACTTCTAAATTAATATTTGTAACATTTTATTTTTATTTTTATTTCTAGTTTGTTTCTATGTGTTTTTGTATGCACACGACTTTTTTTCCAGTTGCTTTCATGTGGCCAACTTTGCAACAATTTCTAATGTTTGATTCACCCCAGCCTTCACAAATTTTAAAAAGCTTATTGTAATGCTCAGGATGGAGAACAGGTGGTTCATTTGGGCTTCACAGTTAATTCTCATGAAGCGACCTCTTTAAGATATGATACTGCACAAAACTTTGGTACTCCTGAAATACACTACTCCTGGAAGAATTTTGCAGTGAGATACGGGAATAAGACATAGTAAGCTGGAAAAATCTAAGTCAAAGGAAAAAATAAGGGAAAGGACTGAAGATTGAAAGGAATATAGCAATGAAAGATATACAATTCCAATTTGATAAGGGATGTTAAGATGTTACACACATTTTCTGCTAATTTTCTACTGCATTTAGCAGTGTTTTAGTGTATAGATGAAATCAGTTTTAAAAACACTAGTGATGTCATATTTAATCATAATTTAAAGCAATACTCAAAAGTGATCTACCAAAGGGTAAAAGACGACTGGGAAGGAAAAACGGGGAGGGAAATATTTTTCTATTCTTCTTCTATTGTCCTTCCCACCCCTCCCCCCAAACTCTGAACCTTCGTGCTTCAAACTAGGTCAAACTGAGTTGAAGTGAACCTTAAAGAAAAGACGGCAATGCTCAGTACCAGGTGTACCAGGAGCTCTTCACCTCCTGTCCTCTTTTCAGGGTAGCGCTCTAGTTTGCGGAGGGTGAACTTCGGAGATGAAATCATACCCGCAGGCGGACGGTGCGCCCTCTGCCACCTCTAAGACAAGAAAGATCCCCCTCTGCCCCGTTTTCGGGCTGCGGGGTGACTGCGTCCCCTGACCTGCTGCCGTGCGGTGGCCACGGGCCGAGCCCCGCCCGCCCCGCGGCGGCTCCGCGTCCGCCCCGCGGCCCGGCTGGGATGCTTCACCTCGCGGCCTTCCCCGGAGGCAGCTCGGACTGCGCTGAGGTTCTGGAGAGACTTAGGCCCGCTCAGTGCCTCTCCTCAGGTTTAATCTGGTCCCAGAGCACGAGGAGGTGGTTACGGCTCAGCTACCGTGGAGTAGCAGGCAACCAGCAAGCTAGAACTGCACAGCTACGGGTTAGAAACGGGTATCATGGAAAGAAATCACCTTCATTCAAAACATCCCGTGGGGGGAGGAAGCACCTCTTAAACCCCAGAAATCAATAAGGAGGTACTGGGCATACTGAACAAAGTTTTATTTTAATGCAGATGAAATGAAAATTAAAACAAACGTACCAAATCAAAACAACAACAAAAACCCCTAAACCAAACTTCATAAAACACAAAGATACCCCAATAACAAAATCCCTTCTTTTAGTCTTGCATAAACGGCTTAACGTCTGTTAAAAGCATTTGTGCACTGTTGTGGGGAGGCAAATGATTGCGAATGTTCCTCTTGGAAGACAGTATTGACCTGCGTTAGAAATACCTTCGTAAATTAAATCTCGATGGGATCTATTTCTGGAAAAATCTTAATTAAAAATAGCGCAAACACAAAACTGTATTCTAAACAGAATGAAAATCCCCATCCCCCCACCCCGTCTGCTCTCAGACAGTGTAGTGTTATCAGTGGAACTGGAAACCTTACAGCAATCACCCCAGTATTTTTCTGTAAAGAAGCGGGGAGGGGGGGAGAGGAGGGGGCTCCAACGGGTCTCGTTGCTGGGAGATACTTTGAGGGCAAAGTAAAAGTGCCCCCCGGGAGCAGAGCTCTGCGGCTGCCGCCGCCGCCGTCTCTGAGATGCTACAGTATCAGGCAGAGAAGAAAAGAAGGGAGTTTGGAGTTGATGTACACGTCGGAGCAGCAGTAAAAAGATATAAGATATCGACACGCTCAGCTGCATCTTGTTAAAAGCTTCCTGCGGGTTGGCAGAATGAAATCTTTATTTAAAATACACAAACTATCGTCAGGGGAGGAACGGAAGGGAAAACACTAAAAGGGCCAAACGCAATGCTTAACCCACCGGTATAAGCAAAAGAGGGGAAGTGATGAGATTTGTTGGGGCGAACGGAAGAGGGCGAAGGGTGCCCTCCTTGCAGCCCAGCCACAACAGCCACCTGGGGACTCCTGGGGACTCGATGTCTCCACTCAGCTTTGGAGACTCTCTCTTTGATGGTGACAATGATAGTTGCTCTGGTACGGGAGAGGGACTTATGAATACCAGAGGCAGAATGTGTGCTCACATTTGGGTGTGAATGATAGGAAAACGTGCCTCGCCACCACATCCACATCAGCGCTCTCTTAAGTAGTGGTAATATTATTATTTTATTATCGCCAGCCGGTGGCTTTAAAGGTGCATTATTTTAATGCATTATTAATTGTTTTCTCAGGGAGAGAGGAAGACGAGGACGGGGCTTATTAACAGCGAGGAGCTCACTCCTGTGGCACACGCCGGGGAGCGCGGTGGGAGGAGGCAGCGCCGGGGGAGGCGGGTGGCGGAGCGCACCCCGGGATCGCTGCGCGGCTGCGGCGCCCACACGCGGGGCTCGGCGCAGCCCCCGCCGCGCCCTCCCGGACCCCCCAGCCCCTCACCCGCCTCCGGGCGCAAAGTTCCGCGGGCAGCTACGGGCGCGGCACCTCGCGGCCGGCACCTCCCCATCCCCATCTCCGCGGGGGCGGCGCGGCTCCGCGGCTGGCAAAGTTGCGGCGGGGCCCGGGGGCCGCCGCCGGCCATCAAGTGGCTCGTTAAGGAAATGCAGGTGAGCGGGCTGAGCGGTGCAAGGGGCTGCGCGGGGCCCGGGGGGAGCGCGACCCCCGCCCCGGCCCCCGCCGTGCCCCCGGGCCGCTCGCCCGCCCGCAGCCGGCAGCGCTCGGTACCGAGAGCCGGCAGCGCCGCACCCGCGGAGAGAGCCGCTCCAGCGCCCCCCGCCCCGCACACGCGCACACACACACACACACACACACACACACACACACACACACACACACACACACACACACACGCACACCCCCCACCCCTCCTCCCCACCCCTCTCTCCTCCCTCTCGCCGCTCTTTTCCTCCCTCCCTCTCTCTCTCTCTCTGCTGGCCTTATCGGAGAGAGTTGCAGGTACCTTACCTCTCCCTTCCCCGTCACCCCCCCCCCCCCCCCCCCCCCGAAAATTTTAGGGCGCAGGAGCCCCAGGAAGCCTCTTTTTAATTTTTTTTTCTTTTCCTACCTTTTTTTTTAAAAAATGTTTTTTTGTGTGGTTTTTTTTTTGTTTGGGTTTGTTTTTTTTTAATCACTGTGACCGAAAAAAAAAATAATTCCTTGGAAGAATGACTCTTTGTCGGAGTCTGCTCTGAAAGCAGGGACACCCCCAGGAGCTAGCGGCAACGGCGCTGGATCCCATCAAAACAGAACTGCCTGATGTGGCATGTGCTTCTCTCTCTTTGCAGTTCCTTCTGGGCCTGTGTGGACTAGGGGCACAACGCGGCGCCTGACTGGCAGGAGGGGAAAGCGGAGACTCCTTCAGGTTTCCAAAGAGGTCCGAGCGGACAGCATTAGTAAGTAAATGTGCTTGATTTCTGTCCCTATGTTCTCAGGCTCCTCCAGACCTTTTCCTAGTGTTCACACACATATGTATGCACAGACACACATTTTAATATACATATATATATGTGTATATATATATATATGCATGCATGTATTTCTGTTTTCAGGTTACTGCGCTCATCAAAGAGAAACTTGGAGGCTATGCTAGCTTGAACTGTTTTCAGTGGGAAAATGCATTAAATGTTTACTGGTCTCTTATGGGAAAAGAAAATTGTAGGTGAATACTTGTCTAAAGAAACTGAGTATGGCAAGTATTGTGTAATGTCTACCTTAGTTCGAGTGTAGGTATTTGATAGATTACAGACAACATCTAAACAAAGAGATGTTCCCTCAGGAGGGTTCTACAGCATGATCTGACCTGCAAAGTAATGCCTGGTGACGGGGCATTCAGTTTAATATGAAATTTGCCTGAGTTACAGATACTGAGAGTATTTTTATCTGCATTCAGTTGTAAGTATTTTTAGTTCACATTTTCGAAGTTTCTAAATTTTTCATCAAGTTTTATGTATATAAAAGTATGTATAATGAGGATGGCAGTTCCAGACAACAGTTTTGCTTTCTAAGTGCTTTTATGGGACATATTCAAAAGTACTGATCACGCTGTTTTCAATAGGTGAGAAAAATCTAGGGGAAACAAAAAGATAAACTCATTTAAAAGGGTTTCATGAGCAGTGAGACTGTTTTGCTGGCTGAGCTGTAGAGCTGACAGAAGGTAAAACGATAAAATAAAGGTATGTCTGCTGTTAGGTGTTGTTCAGCGCTAAATATATCTGCATCTGTGAAGGAGAACTTTTGGAGATGTTATTTCTCTTGGGACGGTGGACTCGTTATTGACATTTGCTGCCTCTCTGATAGAGGAAACGTCTAGTACTAGTGGTTGAGGGTTAACTGTTTCCTAGGTAGAGAAATAAGAATGACAGGTATGTCAATGAAATATTTGCTCGTGTTTGCTAATACCTAAATAAAACCTTAGTGTTATGTCAGTAGAAATACAGTTGAGTCAGGTGTTTTGAATGTCCTGGAAGGAATCAATAGCATTTCGGCATTTTTTCTCCATTCCAGCCAAATGGACTTGGATTTAAATTCTTCATGTGTTGTAGTTATTATAGGGACAGTATGGATGTGAATTTGAATAAAATGAACTTATGTCTTTACAAATTCTTACCAAATTTGGGTTATTTTACAGTAAAAATTCAGAATACTGAGTACTGTAAATAAACTATACAAATCAATTCTCTTATGTATTATGTCTTTATTCTTCACCCAATCAGAATAAACTTGTGTTGTTACAAGACATTAAACATGCATTTACAAATATATTTTAATACACTTTTCAATGTGAAATTCATGTTGCATTTTCAGATGTAATTAAAAATAATCACAACTAATAAATGTCACCAAGAGTGAAAGTTTATCAGGGTCAAATGAAATGCATTCCTTTGTGAAGTAAGGAAATTAGTTTGTGTCACAACAGTAAAGCTAACTAGACAAAATTTATTTAGGAAATTAATATGATACAGTCAGGAAAGACTAAATCTGTTGTAGCAGATGGATGACATTCAGAGTTGCTTTCAGGTATTCATAATCTTAGAGCAAGGAAGAATTACAAAACATAGGGTACAAGTTCAGAGACAGTGAATGTGGGTGACTTTCATATTGCATTACAGTAGTCTTTGGGTAATTGACAGTAACATTTGTGACAGAAAACCCAATGAACTTGTGAACTTGAAATTAAAGGATAATACATTTGCTGGCTTAGTAAGGAATCCTACTGTTATTGTTTTATTACTATGAATTTACATTTCATTTAAGAATAAAGCTTTTGTTTCCTCCCCCCCATTTTTTTTTTGTGACTAGGACACATTTGACATGGCTTATTTCTGTGTTGTATTCCCTGTGGGCAAAGCATTAAAATAATATATCCAGCTTATTTACGTGAACTGTTTTGAGATTGCATACAGAGAAGTTTATTAGGTTAAGCTTTCAGTTCTGCTAGGTGGTCCCAAGCATGCAGCATTACAATATTGAAAGCCTAAAAAAGTGTCTATGTAAAAAAAAACAAAACAAAACAAAAAAACTTACAGGAACTACGTTGTTTAGTTTAGCTTGAATCACAGCATACTCAATAGCTTTATTAGTTTGGAACATACTCTTCATTCTTTGTCTTAGGATATGTCTTGGCAGTACTTTAGTATCTATATAAAAAATGACTCAACACATGCTCCACTTTTGCTGTAATTACTGCTGTGGGAAATGACCTATGTCAAATCATGACTTAAGTTTGATAAATATTGTATTTGATTATATATGTATGTAAAATCTTGAATTGTTTATATAGGAAAATGTCAAATCAGTTCAATCTAATTCAGAAGAAACAAGAGAGGACTTAAAAAGACCTATTACTGTGAAGATATAAAATTGATATAATAAAGTTGCATGTGTCAGCAGTAATGTTTTTTATTATGCAATTGTTCTTGTTATTCAGATGAGATAATGGCATGATGAAATATATAAGCAGTCTACAAGGAATGAAAGATTAATTCCTCTAATGTGCTTATTTAAGATTTCTTACTAATAAAATCATACATACCTGCGTTAGTTTTCGGTAGATAAAGTCAAATCGCATTGTCATTATTAAACACTTAGTATACCAAGCTACTACCAAACTTTGTGATGATAAACTCTGATGGAAAAATTACGACAGTGGATTCCTTCTTTGTTCTTTGTTAAATGTGGCATTGCTGAAGAAATTCACAGTACACAAACAAACATGCTGCTTGATAGTGCAAACTATTTTGAAAGAGGAAATGTGATAAATATTAAATAATACACCGATGCTTTAATCAGCTTGCTTTCTGTGTCCTCTTTTAAGAACTTATAAAGCATTAATAACTTTCATATGTATGGGTGCTAAATCTATAGGGTTGAAGTACTGTAACTAGTTGGAGAAACTAAGATATCATTGGCTAAATTGGGAAACAGGTGAGTTAAGCATTTTGGCAAAGGTCACTGATACTTTTCATCAGTCCAAAGCTTGTTTAGTGTGAAAACAGATTGGTACCTTAATCCCACATAATTAGAGTAAGCTTTATTGATTTGCTATCACTTTAAAGACCTTGTAACCAGCAAATATAAATTTAATAGTGACGTTTATGCGGATGATCTGTAATTTAGAGTTGAATTTTTGAATCTGTACTTAAGGAAAGTAGGTTTTTCCCCTTCACTAGTAGCCATAAGGATTCTAGGGAAACTATCTAGGGAGGAGGAAACAAATCACGGCATTTTTTAAAAAAGGGAAAGAAAAAAAAAAGCAAAAGGCTATAGAAAGATCTCAGATTCAAAAGCGTTTGGGCTGGAGAATATCTGTATAAATGGTGCTTTGGGATGTTTCTTTGCCATACATATGTTATGAGGTCATTAGTACTAGAAGTTTCTTAAAGAGCTTTTATGTTATCACTTTTTCATTTAGACTTTCCACCTTACAGTTTTGCAGCTACAATTCTAACAAACTCCAACAAAGTTAACAAGGGGTTTTGTGTCACAGTGAAATCATAATGATGGAAAGTATTGGCAGGGAGTGCATTTGGCCTATAATTTTTTTAACGTATCTGATTGTGATGAAAAATGTTTAGTAGCAAACAGATGGATTTAAAATTCCAATGAGCAGTAGGCATGAATTAATTAATTCTCAAACAAGAATTAAATGTATTTAATAATAAAATTAAGAGAAGCAAAGAGACACACAAGATTAAGCAAGAGGAATGCATAATGGAAAAATTTTTAAGCATTATTAATGCTGTTGGATGCTGTTTGATTTTCAGTTTATCCATTCTAGTAACTTCTTTGGTAAGATTCAGAATAAGAAAACAATAACAGAAAAGCTAGCAGTAAACGGAAAATTGCAGAGAATTTATTACTATTTTTATAGTCAATATTATGTTGAGTTACACATCTATTTTCATTTGTTTTCAATAGTTGCAGAAATGGTCCTATTTATCTTACATTTCTGTTCTATTAAATATACTATATTAAGTGAAGACTATTGTGCAAGAAAATGCATTCCTTATGTTCTGTATTTCTGTATTGGCAACTTTGTAGCCACTTCTAAAAAGTGTATTTTTTTGTCAATGCAGAAACTGAAGATCTAGTTGAAAAAGATTTTAACTGAATATAGACTGCAGAATCTGGTTTATAAAATCAATTTTATAAAATTTCTCCCAGCAATACTGTGAAATTTTTCAAACCACTAATATGTTTTAAATTTTTGCTGAATACAGACATGCTTTAAATGCCTTTAAAGTTCTTCAAAATACTACTATACTTTGCAGATTATGTACTTATATTGCGTTGAAATGTAAAATTAAGATGTTAGAGATGTATTTGGAGAAAGATTCTTCTTGATGTGTATGTTTGCATTATGAAGAAGGCTCCAAATAGTCCAGTGATTCTCCTGAGAACGCTGTGGGGGATTTGTTCCAGCTGTAAGCAACGTGATCTCATATACTTACCAATTAACAAATAAATACATATTACAGGCCTGGTCTTCTGCTTTATCTAAACATTGGGTCTAGAAAAATGTTTTCTGCATCAGTCAGACCCAACTTTATTGGGATCTTACAGCTATTGTGAAAAGCTTTAAGGGTCCTTAAGCTGAATTCTTCGGCGTGTTTCAGAATGACTTCTCAAAAGGTAAGTGGATGTTTTGGTGCATATGGTGCATTCTGCTTTTCTCCTGAATTTAAAAAATAAGAGCTGTACACAATGGCATTCAAGAAATCACTCTTTCTCCAAGCTGCTGCTTTTTATTTGATTTTAGATTACCTAGCTCGTTTTCAAAGTGTGTGTAACATTGCTCAGCAGTGAAATGGTAAATTCATATGTTTTTTGTTCACAGTGGAAAGGTGGCTGGAGAAGAAAATGCTTTTAGCAGGGGTGGTTGTCTGTAAACATG